TTTTTTTTAAGAATTACAAGTATAGGAGTGTATACTGTAATAATTGCAGGATGATCAAGAAATTCAAATTATTCTTTATTAGGAGGTTTACGAGCAGTTGCTCAAACTATTTCTTATGAAGTAAGATTAGCTTTGATTTTATTATCTTTTATTTTTTTAATCGAAAGATATAATATAATTGATTTTATAAAATTTCAATATTATGTTTGATTTTTTATTTTTTATTTCCTATAGGTTTTATTTGATTAAGAATTTGTTTAGCGGAAACTAATCGTACTCCATTTGATTTTGCTGAGGGGGAATCAGAATTAGTATCTGGATTTAATGTAGAGTATAGAAGAGGGGGTTTTGCATTAATTTTTTTAGCGGAGTATTCGAGAATTTTATTTATAAGTATATTATTTTGTGTAATTTTTTTAGGATGTAATTTATTTAATTTAATATTTTTTTTTCAATTAGTTGTTATTTCTTTTTTATTTATTTGAGTTCGGGGGACTTTACCTCGATTTCGATATGATAAGTTAATATATTTATCTTGAAAGTGTTATTTACCTTATTCATTAAATTTTTTATTATTTATAGTTGGGTTAAAAATATATTTATTTATATGAATTATTTTTAGTAAAGTTAATAGAAAATTTTAATTCTATCTTATATTTTCAAAATATATGCTTATTTCAAGCTCATTAACTTATATTTAATTTAGTAAGTTATCTCATCATTTATTAATTAAAGGGTTAATTAAAAAGTATAAAAAATAAATAAATGTTAGAATTTGTCCAATTATAACATAAGGTTCTTTAACTGATCGAGCTTCAATTCAAGTTAATAAAATTACAGTGGATAGTATAATTCAAAATAAAAATTGGTTAATTGGGTAAAATTGTAATCCTTGAAATTTGCTTATGTTATAGAAAGGTATAATTATTAAAATGGCAATAGATGCAACTAATGCAATTACTCCTCCTAATTTGTTAGGAATTGAACGTAAAATTGCGTAAGCAAATAAAAAATATCATTCTGGTTGAATGTGAATAGGGGTTACTAAAGGGTTAGCTGGAATAAAATTGTCTGGATCTCCTAATAAATAGGGATTTATTAAAGTTAATATAATAAGTCCTATAATTAAAATAATAAATCCGGTGATATCTTTAAAAGTGAAATAGGGATGAAATGGAATTTTATCAATATTTGAATTTAGT